GACCTCTATATAGGCTGACTAGATTCACCAGATGGACAAGTAGTGGGGAATGGCTGGGGTGCCAACAACACAGCAGACAGTGGTAGGGATATCAGAGTATAAGGGCTCTAGTGGGGGGAGGGTGGCTATGGGAGGGTGCTATCTAGGAAGTGGGTATAAAAATAAATTTTAAAATTTTTTTAAAAATAATTCTTCAAAGCATAAAAATTTGCTCCTTAGTAATTGGTGGATGTGAAAAACATTACCATTGAAATCTACCTAATGACTTTATATCCATGCTCAGATGCCAAGGAGCTCAGTAAGTAACCAACTGTGACCAGTAATGATCAGATATATGGAGATTAGAAACGTATGTGCATTTTAGTGTTAATTGTATTGAAAATGAATTTTTCTGCATGAAACTGTGTATTTTAATAGTGAAATGGAGATCTTTTTTAAAGTTTAAAACCTCATTTAATTTTATGTCTTATAGGGTTTATACTGAGTACAGTATTGTATAACTGTATTAATTCAACTGTAAACCTAAAAATTTACAGCCAATTTTGAAGGAGATGCATCTTAGCTCTGGAAATTGTTATTGAATATGTCAATGCTGTTGTAATGGAAAAAAAAGGTAGCATATCAATAATCACATTAAACGTAAATGTCGGTATAGGGAATGGAGAAGGGAGATAAATCAAGGTGGGATTTTAGTTGCATGAAGGACAGGGTCATTAATGAGAGAAGAAAGCTCATGCATCTGTGGACTTTAGGTCATAGGGAGAAGTCTGGACCAAAGACAGAATTTTGATTCTCAACAGCGCATATTACCATGTTTGATACCATGTTAAATCCATAAGAGAACTTAAACTCATGAAGAAGTGACACAAGTGGAGATCGGGCTCCTGAGTTCTTAGACACCCCCATTTCAAAGTATAGGATCCAGGGAAAACCATGAAGCCAACAACATGCACTGAGGGGTATCAGTGAAAAATAAGAATAAAACCAGATAAGAATGAGGTCCTGTAACCCAGGAGAGAGCACTGGACTTAGTATCGTTTCAACTGGGTAGACCACTGCTGAGCAGACAAGTAAGATGAGGTCAGAGACTTGGCTGTGGAATCATCAACACAGAACATGCAGGACCTTTATCTGGGCATGTTTAAGTATAGGGAGACAAACACACAGCACTTGGAGCGGATGAGCAGAAAACAGGAAGGGTAATGTGAGTGACTGAAGGAATGAATAAATGTTTCTATGTCTATTGTCAAAAAAAATCTTTTGGGGGCTGGAGAGATGACTCAGCAGTTAGGAGCACTGGCTGCTCCTGCAAAAGACCTGGGTTTGAATCCCAGCACCCACATGATGGCTAACAACTGTCATTAACTCCAGTTCCAAGGGATCTGACACCCTCTTCTGTCCTCCTCCGGCACTGCACAACACAGGTGAACTTACATACATGCAGGCATGACACACATACACGTGAAAATAAATAAAAATCTATATATTTCCACTCTGTCTAAAAAATGGGTGATTGATTCTAATTACCAGAACCAAATACCCATTATCACAGCAAAAATCCTAGTTCAGAGCTGGGGAGATACAGTTCAGTAAGCAAGAACATTAGCAGATAAAAGATTGTGGGCTTGGCTGGGCATGGTGTTGCACACCTTTAATATCAGCATTCGAGAGGCAGAGGCAGGCAGATCTCTGTGAATTCAAGGCCAACCTGATCTACATAGTTCCAGGCCAGCTAGGGATACAGGGAGACCCTGTCTCAAAACAAAAAATAAAATAAAATAATCCTCAGTACCAAAAAAAAAAAAACCTTTTTTTTCCTTTGTTTTGGTTTTTTTAAAGATTATTTTTATGTGAATGGGTGTTTTGCCTGCATGTTTGTTTGTGCACCCCATAGTGTGATAGTGTG